AAGAAACTCAGAATTGCAGAACACATTATAAGAAGTTGTTCATCAGCAAGCAATTATTTTTATTTTTTTGTATCTTCTTAAACTAATCTATTTTTATACCGTTAAACGCATTGTATATTTGGCTTTCCATGTTGAACGATCTTCTTTCACCATTTTTAAAAATAATTATTACCAGATGTTTTACTCTGAAAAAATAAAAGAAAGTAGAAATACACGACTATAATTTAATAACAATTTTCGATTTTGAAATGAATTTGTTAATAACGACCACACGTCGATGTATCGTCCTCCTTCGATATATAGAAATAAACAACGATTTTTAATATTAATTATTTTATAAAAAATAATTTTAATTAAGATTAAAATTAAAGAAAAAGAATTTTTTAAATTTATTTTTATCTTATTAATATAGTTTTCTTGATTAAATGTATAAAGGACAAAGTAATATTCAAATGACGAAATCAACCAATCAGATATCTCACTGTGGTTTTCGTATATGTCGAGAGAGAATTTTTAACAATTGAATAGTTATGAATGAACCAGAAACAGTAAATTCAGATCAGGAATGTTCTTTATTGAAACGTTCTCATGATCTTGAACAAGATTTTTCTCCAAAACGTATGAAATATGATACAGTTCCATGGGATGAACTGTACGAAAATACTATATTAGATAATGAAGTCGAATTAATATATCCTACTAGTGATACAGAAGAAGAAATTGATGGTACGAGTGATGTTAAAGAAGAGATTGATGGTACGAGTGATGTCAAAGAAGAAATTGATGATACGAGTGATGTTGAAGATATTGAAATTGATTCAAATCTATCAACTGATCAATCTCGATATACTCCTGTTATATTAAATCAAACAAATTTACAACAACAAAAACAATCTTTGAGTAGATATTCAAAAAATTTAGTAAAACAATTTAAAGATATATATGAACATAGTAAAAGAAAATTTATTCAACCAACACAATGTATAGATGATACTATAAATCAAATAAAAACTTTACGTTGGGAATTAAGAAATACATTTGATCGAAATGCTCTATTTAAAGAAGGTTATGCCGTTTTATCGGATGAATCATTTCCATTTTATTCACTGTGTTATACGGTTAGTATCAAATCATAGTTTTGTTTGACACGAACTATACAAAGACTTATTGCACATTCGCACTCGAAATTATTGATACTAGAACTGAGTCACGAGAACTCTCACAGCGGTACACTCAATTGAGTAATCTCAGTATTGATTACCAATCGTAAAGATACATGAATGATGATATTTGAGATTTTAGAATAGAAAATTATCTCTAGACGTTTGAAAAACGCTAGTGACTTCATACACAATAAAAAACAAACAATGTACTTGATAACATACAAAAATGAGAGTGAATAATTCTCTATATTGAGCATACATAAAACAAAGCTTGATTTATTATACAGACTAGTATCATTTATATACGCGATCTCTTATTTGTACATAGAGTGGAATTAGGGATGATAGTTACTGAATGAATTTATATCAGGTTTTTAGAAAAGATAAGAAATCTTATTCTCATTTTTTTTCTAGTGTGGTTCAATGGGTAGTGATATAATCTACTGTAATAGTTGTTGTCAAGCTTATCATACAGCTTGTTTAAATGAATCTGAACGTCCTCTTTTATGTCCAACACCTGAATCATGGTTATGTCCAAATTGTATTGTATGTTGTATATGTAGTTTATTAAAAAATTCTCAAATAATAACTTGTTTTGAATGTAAACGAAATTTCCATGTAAAATGTATAAAACAAACAAAAGACGAACAACAAAATTCTAATTTTCATAATCAACAATGGTTTTGTCCATTATGTATTAAATGTGATTGTGGACAAGCATTAATATCAAATGAACGAAATCTTTTATCAACTGCAAAAACTGTTACATCTCAACAATCACGAATGTGTTCCGATTGTTTAAATAATATGAAAATATTTCGAGCAAATAAAAATGATAATATTGAAAAATGTCATCTATGTGAAAAATTTATTGAACAATATATAACGAAACCTAAACCATTATTTTCTATGACATTAATTGGTAAACAAACATCACAAAAAATAAATAATCTATTGCAATGTATTAAATGTAAACATCATTTTCATCCAATATGTGATGGTTATTTAAATGAAGATGTAACATTAATAACATATATTAAAGATATATGTTCAAATATTATCTGCTCAAAATGTGATATTAATCAAAAAGAAAATATTAAAAATTCTTTGACGAATTATAAACTTCAAGGTGATTATAAATAGGGAGCTGCACCGGGTCTATCAGATCCAACGAAAGAGTCGTAAATTACTCTATCATTTTGTAGAGAAATGTTTGTTCTTTCAGACTGTGTGCTTAGAATCATGCAAGAGCCTTTCATAGTCCAAATTTTTTTGAATGAAAGCCCGGGTCTAGACCCGGACCCGGATCTTTTTTTTCATAAAATTTCAGCGACGAAAAGCTCTTGCATGATTCTAAGCACACAGTCTGAAAGGGTAGGTGTGGGTGTCTATCATCTCATAACTCACCCACACCCACACCACTTCATTTCGTAGATTAAGTCTTTAAGAAACAATCTCCTACATGCAAACTTTTATCAATATCAAAGAGTATATCTATTAATCGTATGTTTTATTTTTTAGTGGTGAAAAATACTATAGCTAGTATTATATCAACATTACAAATAATTATATCAGAAGAAAATCATTTAAATAATATGAAAGTTTATATGTCAAATCTTCAACAATTACATCAATCTCGTAATCAATCGTTGAATTTACATGCTTTTATTAATGATTTACTTATAATTATTCAACGTTTACTTGATAATATTGATAGTCGTCGATGGCAAGCAGCAATTGATAATTGTTTAATTCATCATTGTCCGTGGTTTAAATCTTCAAATTTATCTTCCAGTAATAGAATATTATATTGTTCATCAACAAATGCATCGATATCACATACAAATGTTGCATTAAATCGTTGTGTTAAATCACCATCTATTGATCATACATATTCATTAAATAATGATCGTCTTTTATTCGAATCAAATTTATATAAAAATACTTTATTAACATCAAGTGATTCATTACTACGATATATTAATAATAAATTTAATGAAAAATATACTTTTGAAAATTTACATCAAATTGATACAAGATTATGTCAATTATGTCAAACATATGCTGATCATTTTTCATCAAATATTTCACGTTTAATATCAATTGGTATTAATCAATGGGTACATATTGGTTGTATACTTCCAGCTTATACAAAAACTCTTAATCAACCTCCATATATTCTACATAATGTACGTGAAATAGTCAAACGATGTCAAAAAAAATATAAGTGTGATATATGTTCAAAAATGGGTGCTAGTATACAATGTTATGAAAATGATTGTCATACATATTTCCATTGCCAATGTATAGAAATATATTATTCAAAATTCAATCGAGATATACTAGAAAAATTAAATATTATTAATGGATTATTACCAAATTTAACAACGTTATGCTCGAAACATAATAAAATTAAAATAAAAAATGAGTTAAATGACACCAATCAATATGAAATAAATAGTATGTAAAGGGTGTGGGTGAAGGTGGGTGATGGTGGGTGTGGGTGTGGGGTGGGCGTCTATCATCTCTTAGCCCACCCACACTGACGCCCATACGCGCACCCACTCTCATCCTCAAGATATTTTATGAATATTAAAATTTTTATTTAGATGATAGAAATTATTCGAAACTGAAATCTATTAATTTATCATCAACGATTTATGCTGATCTATCCAATTCTATCGTTGAATTTTCTTTAAGTAATATACAATTATGTATAGGTTCACTTCAAATAAAATCATTTGGTAATTATGATTATCTTCTTGATAATGATACTAATCTTAATATATATCCAAATAAATATCATGCAACCCGTTTATTTTGGAGTACAAAAAATGCTCGTCAAAAAACTCTATATCATTTATATATAGATGTTGAACAAACATATCATAATGAAAAATCTAATCATCAAACAATTGAATATCCATTAACAAATAAACAAATACAGGTTGAACAATTATATGACATATGTGAAAAATATTTTAATAAATTTAAAAAAAGAGTTCGTCTAGAAAAAACAATTAGTATTAGAAGTGAAAATTCAAAGAATGATATGAAACAAATATCATCGCATAGTAAATGTCAAACATCAAAATCTGCATTAAAAAATAGAAGTCGACCAAGAGATAGATTTAAAAATGAAAGTATTAGTGATGTAAATAAACCATTAGAAGAAAAACCTGAAACAATTGCAGTTGATACAAAAAGTTTACGTAGTATATTTACTAATGATGCATTGAAATCACCAAATCTTTCTCGATTTGCTCGAGCACTTGTACAAGCTCTTCAACATACGGATCAATCATTGTCATCAATAAAAAAGTACGTAATAACAAATAATATTCTTCTTATTTTACGTATATGTATATTTACAGATCAGAACAACAACCGATTTTCAGTTATTATTTATCGAATCAAACAGGTGTTTCATCAAATAAATCAATAGTAGAAAAGAATAATGATGGTTTGTTAGATCAATTATTAAAAAGTATAAATCAATCACAACCATTAAATGGTATGAATATATTAACATTTTTAAATTCAGTTACATTTTCAGACTGTTAATTCCGAATATAAGACAAATCATTGTTGAGTATCATTCATGTAAAACACAATGCATGAACACTTTTTTTTTAATTTGTATATGAATCATAAGAAATCTCTACTTATAAATTTATTTGTTCTATATCTTCAGCTTCTCAACTGTCTTCTGATATACGATTACCATCAGCTTCTGCTATTCAGACCAATACAACAGAAACACATATACCACAAATAGATGGAAGTATCGATGATGAAGATGATACTTTTCTTATTTCATCTTCTATATTAAGTTCTTTAATCGAACAAATAATAAAAAATGAAGAAGATTTACATACTAATTATATATCTTCAACTGCAAAGCTATCGTTTAATTTTTCTAAAGAACTTATTCAAAAATATCAACATTGGTTAACATCGAAATTTGGTCGCGTTAAATTTACAATTATTAGTGATGATGGTTATAAAATTGTATCTGAGAATTTAGATGATGCTTGGTCAAATGTCGTTAATCTCGTACGAGAATGTCGTGATGATATGAAATTAACACATTTACCAATGACAAATGAAGAATTAAATGGTCATCGAATATTTGGTTTAACAAAATCAATTATTAAAATAATGTTAAATCAAATTTATCTAAATTCATTTTCTATACAAGAAAATACTAGTACAATTATTTTACCATTATCATCGAATCATAATATTTCAACTAGTTCAATAAAGAAAAAACTTAATCATAAAAAAATTTTTCCACCAAATTCGCGATCGAATATTTATCAACGAAAAAATTCTAAACGTCAACGATTTAATTGGTTATTGAATCCAAATCGAAAAATTGAATACGCATTAAAATCATTTGAAATTGACGATGCACTTGAATTCGCAAGGTAAATTATTACTAAGTGCTTAAATCCACTTATGATGGAATACTCTCAGATCTTCAGTATTATCTAGCAAATAGGTTTCTGTATAACTGATGACACTGTTTTGTTTTCATTTTTTTTAGACAAATTATTCTTGACGAACCTTCAGTTAGTTTACGTCTTTATCATTTACGTTATTTTTCTGAACGTGTATTACTTGTTGGATCATCATCTATACATGGATGTGGTTTATTTACATTGATTGATTTAGTTGAAGGACAAATGATAGTTGAGTATACAGGTGAAGTAATTCGTCCATGTCTTACAGATAACCGTGAACATGAAAATGAAAAAAAAGTAAAATATTCTTAAAAATTAAGTAAAAGTTAATTAAAATTTGATTTATTAGGGTTTTGGTTGTTATATGTTTACTGTTGATTCAATGAATGTTATTGATGCAACACATGAAGGAAATAAAGCTCGTTTTATCAATCATAATTGTCAAGTAAGATAAAATAAATTGATTTAATTTAAAATAGAAATTAAATTTTTTTAGCCAAATTGTTTTGCTAAAACTATTATATCCGGTGGTGTTAAACGTATTGTTATATATGCACTTATAGATATTAATCGTGGTTCAGAATTGACTTATGATTATTCATTTCCCGAAGAAGATATCAAAATACCATGCCATTGTGGTACAAATAAATGTCGAATTTATTTGAACTAATGATCATGTATATGTATATATATTTGTTTTTTTAAATATTTCTAGTCAGATTTTTCTATTTTTGTATAATGTGTGTATTTTTGAACTTGTTTTACCGAAAATAGGAAAATAAAAGAGATCTTTGTAATTTCATTTCTTTTATGAATCTACGTATATAAAATTGAAAAACTACCTAAAGAGAATACATATACTTAAATTTATTTCGTATAAGAAAAGTATTCTTATAAAAAAAATTAATGGACGAATGATAATAATAATAGAAATATATTTAATAAATTGAAACATTCATGCAGATTAACAAAGAAGAAAGAAGCAAAGAATAAGAATTGAAAATGAGAAAATGACATTATACAAGGAGAAGAAGAAAGAGAATGATGAAGAACAACTGAACAAGTACCTACTACTACGATCACCACATGATGAACAAGGAAAAAAAAGAGCAACAGGAATGAATTGTGTCATCTGAAATGTCTTGTTTATCTGAGACTGCCTAAAAGAAAATACTTTGCTTACGTTAAAGACAACTTTTATGATCAACAATATATAATACGGCTTACTTGATTCATTAAATAATGATGTCAAAAGAAAGAAATGACAATAAATTTAAGATGACGATTTGCTCCTGAATCAAAACAGGGATAAAATTTAATATAAAAACAAGTGGTTGCTTACTTAATCTGTGGATTTTTTAGACCAGCTATATGGACAACTTTCTTCTCTTATTACTTAAGTCACGAAGTAAAATTATCATTTCTTTTCTCTTCGTTGCGGAGACCATTTTTATTAAAATTTCCATACCCACATCCGCCGATGCTGCATCATTTTTGTCATTATCATGGTATTCATGATCATGGTTGTCATCTCCTTGATTTTCAACATCAGAATTTTCACCATAACAATTTTCATCATCAAAAATTTCACCACAATGATTTTCAACATCAGAAATTTCAGCATCAAGATTTTCATCATCGGAATTTTCACCACAATGACTTTCAATATCAGAAATTTCAGCATCAACATCTTCATCATCAGGATTTTCATCATCGGAAATTTCAGCATCAAATATTAATATTTCATCATCAGAATTTTCAGCATCAAAGATTTCATCACAATGATTTTCAGCATCAGAATTGTTAGCATCAGAATTGTCAACATCAGGATTTTCATCATCAAAAATTTCACCACAATGATTTTCATCATCAGAATCTTCAGCATCAGAAATTTCACCATCAGAATTTTCAACATCAGAATTTTCACCATGACAATTTTCATCATCAAAAATTTCACCACAATGATTTTCAACATCAGAATTTTCACCCTCAAGATTTTCGTCATCTGCATTTTCATCATCAGAATTTTCAGCATCAAGATTTTCATTATCGGAAATTTCAGCATCAGAGATTTCACCATAATGACTTTCAGCATCAGAAATTTCAGCATCAGAAATTTCACCACAATGACTTTCAACATCAGAAATTTCAGCATCAAGATTTTCATCATCAGAATTTTCAGCATCAAAGATTTCATCACAATGACTT